AATACGCGTATTCACACCTCTCTTTATGATAATGGAAAAATAATGAGACTGAATTACACACTAGTTTCAAGTCCAGTGGTTAGAAATTCTCTAAAATAATTCCTATCAATTCTTTGTATGTCCCTTATTTTATTTAGTGTTTAGATGAGTAATACAGTATTTTGCGGATCTAAATACAAAATAGTCGAATTGTTTCATATTGCAACGCCACTGTATATTGTTTATGTGATAAAATATTCATTGCCACTATAGTTATCTATAGAAACCAGCTATAGATGTTAGTAAAATTTTGTTGGATTTTTATACCAAAAAAAATTTAAGATTTCTATCTGTAACGTAGTCTGCTCTTGCAGAGGTGCCTATATGAATGCTCAAAATTACGACTGCATTTTCAATGCTGCCCCTACATACCACATAGTATTTGACTGAATATGCACATATTGTTCATTGATATGTTATTTTGTAATATTTGATAAAAGCTTCTGCAGCAACATGTATTAAGTCTACTTGTAGGATCATAAACCAAATTTATACTAGAAAAGTACTTTGCGTTAAGATTTTAATTCTTTTACACAAAACTAACTTTTATTAAATTTAATTAAAGTTTATAACTGGCCCCCCATTGTCCTTTACACCCGTGGGAATTGGTACACAACGTAGTTAACGAATAACAAACTGTCATGTAGCGGTATAATTATTTTATCAAAAGCTGCATTATTGAGTGTACAATATGCATACTTTGTCACAAAAACCGATATACACACGCGAAGGACTGAAATGAAATAATAAATTCAAAGTTCGGGATTTAAATGAACGTCGGAAATGGATATATAGAAAGTTCTGTTAGAAATATAAATATATTTGGTATGTTACAAAATTTTTTTTTAACTTTAGAAGAGTAAAAGGTGATACAAGAGTTCATAAACAAAGGAATGAAGATGTATAATAAGAACTTATCGATAAATAAGAAAATTAAAGAATACAGAATAAAAAGCAAACAACATATAACCAGATCTTTGGCTCTAAAAGAGGATGCCTCCAATCCAAAAGAAAATTCGAGATCAAACCTTAAATATGAAGCTGTATCTTCTCTTCGATGCTTTAACTTATCGTTTTATTATTGATTACTAGCATTGCAAGCAAGATAAAAAGATAAATATGTACTTCCTGCAGTCGCAGTAATAATGCTTTAGCTAGTGTCATGTGGATGATTTTAGGATTAAGAAATGAAAAAAATAATACAAATGATATTTAATAATAACTCGAGAGACACGCAAAGAATCTCTACATAGACATTCTTCGCTTGTCACGACGATTAGTACACAGAAAGAATGCAAAATATGTGAATATTTAGGCTGGCATGATCCATACTCATAATCACAGTTTCCTATGGAAAGGATATTAGTAAATAGAAGATCAGAAGTAGATTTAATTTATTTTTAATTACTAAGTAGGAAGAACATTTATCAGCGATGATAGAATACACCGTTACAGTTATAAATGTTTGGAAGACAAGACAAGACTTGTTTATAGAAGTAATAGCAACTCACTTAGAGTACTGCAAAATGGGCAGAACCTTCTTCTTCTTTCTTTACTTGTTCAGTCCAAAAAATTAAATCTTGTTTATGCAAAAAATAGCGATTTGAATGGCCGTGTCACTTGCATGCAGGGGATCGTGCTTAGTGCAAGGTTTCTTTAATAGCGGAAAACTACTAGCAATGTTGAATTTTGTACCGCCTCAAATTATGCAGGGTATCGAAGTCAGCAGGCGACAGTCCCCCTTTTTTATGTTGGTTTTATACTTGGACACTCCGACTTGCAGATGATTGAGAGTCCTCCGCACAGGATAAGGAAGATGACTGGCAAACGAAAGTTTCTCGTGGGAATTCAGCTGAAGAGGATTTTTTTTTTTCTGTTTGGTAAAACGAGTTATTTTTTATGTATCTTGCAATGATGATGTGGCAGAGCCTGACTGGATGGACTCGTAGGGAAAAAGTAGATTGCCATTCACCGACGCGTTTAGTGGAGATGTTGGAATCAACTGGCTAATAAAAGATGGAGTTTTGTGAGTCAAGTTTAAATAGTATTCAGAGCATTGAGTGCCCTATTTATATCGCCGGATATCTCTTACAATAGAGTGATTTATTATTAGAATTGTATCAGGAGCTTAAACTACCTTTTCTTCTCTTCTTTTCGCAATTAAGAATTCATATATCTCCGTTTTTTGTAGATAGGTGTTTTCTGTCTATTTAATGGTAGCTCGAATGCTTGGTTAACACAATGTTTGCTGTAGGTGTTTGTGGTTATGAATTCTTATATCCATTCTGCTAGTATGAAAATCTTTTCTTACCAACTATAACCATTGAGACAAAGCTCGACCAGTGAACCTCTTTAGTTGTTTTGCAAAGTAAGTAAGGTTAAATTGTACATACGAGTTTGCTTCAAAAATTGAACGTTAGTCCTCTGGAATGAACCGTTACTAGATGAACTTTTTTTGTTGTGAGTGTTAGAAAGATTATTGGGTCAAGAAGGAAAGTATCGCTTCTTTCTTCCTTATGGGCTTCTTGGTTTAAGAAGATTGACAATCATTACGGTTCATTTGGCTCTATCTGCAGCAGTTCTGAAGAGTTCTATTGTTTTTATACTCCATAGCTTTAAATTTTTTAAGCAGCACGTGCGTCGTCTCCCGTGCGTACTCACCCGAAGAGAAACTTAATGCCTTGGCTGTAGTTAGAAGGACGTTTGGTTGGGTAACCTATTTAGAGTAGTGGAGTTTGCGAAGGTTACGGGATGCTACCTTCAGAACGGTCTTTTGGCAGTGTGCTTAATATGTGAGTGTGCTGTCCAGCAAGTTATATTGGATGCTCCGCGAGTTCCAATTGGTGTCTGTTCGACCTGATCTTTAGCTTTCTTTTTGACCTTCTAGAGATTAAATGGAAAGAGCAGATTTGAGTTTAGGTAAAATTAAGCTTTGGCGAGTTTCTATCCCTCGAGTTTGGTTTCGACGCCTTTAAAGGTTCTGTCCTGTACGTTCAAAGCAAACCTGTCAGCATACAGGAAGTTCTCGGGAGTGTGTATGATTGGTTGAGCCTTAGTATAGACGTTAAACAGCATGGACGATAGCGCTTCACTCTGCGCTTGGCCAATTTTATGGTTTCGCCAGCGGCTTTCTTCCTCTCAAAATCTCTTAAAGTTGTTAAGCAATGATCTTACGACGTTTGTGAATCTTTTATCTCCTGTTAATGATCTGACCTTTTTAAGGTCAAATATTTTCAATGAAAGGGCAGAGAATACGTAACATTTCAATACTCTAGTTTTAATTTCTATTTTCATATTTCCATTGCCTAATACTACTTTCATCTTATTGAAAGCGCTTCTGCTCATCTCAATACGTCATTTTATTTTAAGGCTACGGTCCTATTGTTTATTTAGCACATATCACAAGTAATTGTATCTGGATACTTTCTCTAAAACTTTTCCTTTAATTTAGAATATTTTGTGTTCAAGAGAAGGGCCTCTTTTTGATATGGCTGAGATGATTTCTTTTCAAGTAATTTCATAATATTCAGATGTAGGTGGGCATACTTAAGTATTTTTAGTTTTAGTTTTACTTTTGTGGTGCGATCGCGGTCTCTTGGTGCTCTAGAGGTTGTTACAGCGTGGGAGGCAACTCTGTTGGGAACTATTGGTACTTTGTTTCTAGTTGAAAACTTAAGAAACTTGCCTACTACCGAGTTTCTTAAGTAAAGACTGTGCTTTTCTGCTTGATTTACCAAAGTTTAGTTTTTCCACAGTCTCCATTCATTTTTGTTGTCTGGTTGCATCTAAACTATGCAGTAGTTTATCAACGATTTCTCGATCTTGGCTTTTCTTGTTTTCTTGATCGATATAATTTTTCGCTGTAGTGATAACCGCGCCAACAAATCTCACATAGTTTGATTGTCTTGGGATTATCTGTATATTAGTATCTATATAGAATATAGAATGTGCAACTAATATATAGAATCTATATATTAGTTGCACAATCTCTCTGTAAAAGTCGCTTAGTCTGTTTAAGTTCCACCTAGGTCGAGAAAAAGATGGTATTATTGATATTTTGAAGCCAACTTCTATTACAACTTGTTTATGTTGGCTATGTGGAAAATCTGGGAGTAGTGTACGTGAAGCTACCAGGGATTGATTGTTTTCGTTTGTGGAGATAAAGCATAGGATTTGTTTCCACAAACGTGTCTGGGTTGTATTCTCGCCTCGAGACTGCAGATCGAAAAGTTCGTTGATGTTTAGCGGTAAAAATTAAATAAGTGTCAGCCTCTTCACTCTAGGTCTTTAGCAAAACTGCGCCGATTTAATCACTTTGCCTTTACTTCCAGAGTTTGTGGTGACTGTTGAAATCTCTTTGAGTATTTTTTATTTTGTTTCGAACATAGGTTGCTTGCTATCCCATAAGCTGCATGGAAAGTTGCAACCAATAAATCATAACCACAAATATTTTATATAATTTCCTTTTTTCCATCAATTGCAATATCTTACCAGTTATCCATGATTTAGCTTTATTAGTATTTTCTTTCTTTTTAGGATCTCCTTCGTTGTCTTCAGTATTATATTTTTAAGGATTTCCCATTTTCGGTTCGACTCTTTCTTTGGATCGATGATATTTCCTCTTATTCTTAATGCTAACAATAACTGCGTATATACATTTTCTTTATCTAGACTGAACCTTGTACATCGTAGTATTATGAAACAAGAGATAACTTTTTTACGTAGTATATAATTATTTAAGAATAGCATTGTTACGGTAATTGGCTCAATTAAGCGAGTAATAAAGCATATTTTAGTTTGCATTGAATAAAATTACTTTTATATCTTACATATTTTGCATTGTATATATTTTATATTATAATTTATACGTTTTTCAAAAATTTATTATAGCAATTATTTATTCATACCTGTCACAATTCGGTCCCAATAATTTGTATTAAGTTATTTTCTATTTGTTCTAGATGAGTATACTAAAATCACAACTCCTAGACAAGATGTTCTATTTAAGAAGGGTTACCTGAACAAGCCCAGAAACTACCAGACGCAGACGTCAACTGGTACTTCCACGACATCAACGGGTAATTCCACGGGAAACGGTACTCCCGATCATCAATCAACAGGTAAGCAACATTATACTATATGTATTTCAAAAGACCGTGCAGTTGATGTAAAGAATTTATTTAATATAAATATTTAAAGCACCAGATAAAGAAAAGAGAAGAAAAGGGGATATATCAAAGGAAAAAACGAATCTATCTAAATAAGGAACTTAAATATATATAGAAAATATAGAGTGGAATAATTCAGAGCATTTAATAAGAAAGGTAACATCAACCGAAAATAATTCAAAGCAACTACAAATCAATACAGAAGCCTGAACCTATTATAATTAAGCAAAGATGTATTGAATCGATGAGTGGAATACTTTAACAGGTTACTTAATATATAAAAAAATAGAAAAAAAACCTGGAAGTTAAAAGGAACGAAGTAAGTGAAACAGGCGAGGGGAAAGAGAAAGCACCTACAACTGTTGAAGTTAAAGAGGCACTTAAAAAAACTAACCAAAAACAAATCACCAGGAATAGAATATCTCCCAGCGGAACTACACAACAATGACGTCATCAAAGCAATTAACAAATTCATATACCTGGAAGCGATCGTCCACACTGAAAATAATACTACCGCAGAGATAAACCGAAGAATTCACAAGGCCAACAGGTACCTACTATTCTGGGCTCAACGTTCTTTTTTCCACCTTACTTTTTTCTACGGGATTACTGATGACTAATGACTGAATATAGTTATGAACATTTTAATCAAATACGGCTAACTTCTTCTCTACAGCTTCAATTTTTGACTTTAGAATCAATTGAAGATCGCTGAAAATAATATAATTAACGCAGCAACAGAATCACTTAGAGAGAATAAAGTAACGAACACTAAAGCCGGATTTATAAACGGACATAAACATAATTTTAGTCTTTAACCATAATCTTATTATATAAGCATAATGTTAAAAGTTAATAAATAAATGTACCCATTTAAAAGCATCCATAATACATAAGACATAAATTTAGTCCTTAAAACGTGACCTTGAAAGTTGGTAACTTTCAACATTTATGAATTAAGTATTAAACATTATGGAATTGTTCGAATATGCGCATGCGTTGGTAGAATCATCTGCAGTTTCCTCCTGCTCCTATACATAACCCTACTATTTTAATTTATTATTTTTGGAGCGAATTCAACCACATATTTATTTATTTTACTTTTCTATGAATCTAAAGACCAGAAAAAAATTCTTCATGCTCTATAAAAATTTGGTTAGGTTTGTATTTTCTGAAGTAGTTCTTAAATATTATGGTTATGTATTATGTCTAGTTATAAACCAATCTTAAATCTTATGAATTATGATTGTGGTTAAAGTTATGTTTATGACTTATGATTAGATTATGTACTATGTCCGTTTATAAACCTGCCTTAACATATTAAAAAAGAAAACACCATGGTTTAGAGAAGAAGTAAAGACAAAATATGAAGAAAAGAAGAAAGCCTTTTTACAATACAGAACACAACAAACACAACAGGCATACAACCACTATAAACGATTCATAAATGAAACGAATACTTTAGTTAGACAAAAAAAAAGAACAATTGCAGAGTTTCTCAAAACAGATGGAACACGATTTCTATGGAACACAAAAAGAAATATGGAGAATGATCAGAGGACAAAGAAAAGACATGCACAAACTAATAATAACGAAACACACTCAGAAGTAAACATGGGTAGGCTACTTTCGATCCCTGTTTGCTAAATGTGACGATGATGAACCCCCAACACCAGAGGTGACGACAAACCAAGAAATAAATATTGTGGAGGAAGAGGTAAAGGAAGCATTAAGAAAATTAGAAAATATAAAATCAACAGCAGAGGATAGGATACCGAACGAACAAACTCCTAAAGTACGGAAGACCAGATCTGACCAAACAAATATTAAAGCTAGCTCAAAAAATAATAGAACAAAACAGAATTCCCCAAGAATGGAGATTAAGCATCCTAATACCTTTCTTTAAAAAGGGAGAAAAATCGGATCCGGAAAATTACACAGGAATTAATTTATTAAACACAACACTAAAATTAACAACCAAAGTGATAACAAATAAATTGAATAAAATTATCACACTAGCAGCAGAACAACAAGGTTTTAGGTCGGGAAGATCATGCACCAACGCTATATTTATAATGAGGCAAGTGCAAGAGAAATCATTAAAATACAACAAACCGGCATATCTATGTTTCGTGGACCTTACAAAGGCATTTGACCGGGTCAAATTAAAAGATGTTATCCACTTATTTTATGCAAGAGAGATACCTCTAGGAATAATCAAAACTATCAAAAATATCGACAAAAACAACACAATAAAAGTAAAAGTACAAAAAGAAGAACTAACTGACCCTATTGAAGCTGGCAATGAAATAAGGCAGGGAGATTCCCTGAGTCTTCTATTGTTCAACCTGGTTAATAATAAAAAAAGTAAGAACAAAAAAGGGATACAAAATGGGAGGAAAACAACTTAAAATAATCTGCTATGCAGACGACGCAATACTACTCTCTCAACGTGAAGATGATTTACAACGTATGGTGCACCAATTTGATATAACCGCCAGAAAATTTAACATGTTAATTTCCTTAACAAAGACAAAATGCATGGTTCCAACAGTAAATTTACTAAGATACAAATTGGAACTCTAAGGTCAGATAATAAACAAGTGATGGAGTTTAAATATCTAGGCATCATATTATCTAGCTACGGAAAGCTCGAAACCGAAGTGGAAGATCAAGTGAATAGAGCAAACAAAGCCACAGGCTACCTAAATAAAACAACGTGGAGAAATAAAAATATCGGGAAAGAAACGAAACGGCAGAATTTACAAAACAGTCATCAGACCAATAATGACATACGCGGCAGAAACAAGACCTGACACAGAGAGGACAAAAAGGATGTTAGAAACAGCAGAGATAAAAACAGAAAAATTGATGGTAAGACACTATGGCACAGAGCTAGAAGTACAGATATACGACATATATGCAAGGTGGAGAACATCAAAAACTAGGTAAAAAATAGAAGAGTAGAACGAAACAATGATATAAGCCGAATGACAACAAATAGGGTAGTAATGACGGCAAGAGACTGTTCGCCAGTAGGAAGATGGTCAGTAGGAAGACCAATAAATCGATGGAATGACAACTTACTGGAGGCATATTGAAAAACAGACAGAGTTACGTCTATATAAAAAGAAGAAGTAGAAGAAGAATCAATTGATTGTGTGAAATGGTATTTATAGCATAATTAAAAGTATAGAATCTTGCAATGAAAATGTTTGTCTTAAGTAATTTACTTTAAGTCTATTTCGATTATCTTCTAATTATCTTATTTCGTTTTCTACTCTTTCTGCGTCTCCTTGGTCTATATTTCCAGTGATACATATTATTAATTAGAGGATTTAGAAGTCCTTTTCTTTTCTCTCTTTTTTTTTCATGAAATACCACGGTGGATTAATTTAATATATTTGTTCTTAAATGTGATTCTGTGTTGTAATTAAAAGGGATAAATGAAGTTTCTAATTCTGAATAATGACTTGTTTGTTTCTAAAACTAGTACATAGTCTTTGAGCTTCATTTTTCAATAAGTGATATTCTGATATGACAAAGATTAAATTGTATAAAAGTCCAATGTGCGGATATTATTATTTTGGAAAAAACCTAAATTAAAAATAAAAGAGTCCTTGGTATGAAGCTACATCATGGAGCCTGACTAATTTGTGTCCTACGTCATTGAAGTCTATTGCTCTGAGAATTCGTACGACAAATATGAATATTTTCATTATCTACAAACTTCAGACTATTCTTGTTCTTCCGTCTATACCAATTGGGTTCTTGACAATGCTAGTTAATACTCCCTGGTCTTGGCTTTCCCAATTGGTTGTGGCCAATGTTTGTTTCTCAGTTTCCTGGACGTTTGGCTGTTACCGTATCCGCAATATATCATTTTCATAAATCGTTAAAACGGAAAACTGTACGCGAATACCAAGGTTAACTCAAAAGCACTGTACAATTTTGGAAAATCCTACTGCCAACTGCGCCAATTACAGATATCACAGCCATAAGTAGGTTTTTAAAAAATAATTATAATAAAATTTATTTGGGAGACACATATTTGGAGTAAAGTAACAACGACAAACTAAAAAGCATTGAAAATAATTAAACATCGGTATATATACTCTACTTAATTTTTAGTAAGCACTTTACATAAATAACTGGTGTACCTGTCCTTATTGTCCGTATTTTATCCGATCCTCTTATGATGTCAATGTATATTTCGAAAACTCTTGGTGATACACTATAATCTTGTTTTAGTCTAAAAAATCGATGTTATTTTAGGGGTCGTCATTTTTTAATTTTCCGTAGACTAAAAATTTTTTAGCAGATTTAACTGGTATTTTAACTGGTAAAGATGGTAAAATTTGTAGTTTCCTTATAGTAAAATTTTATCTCGTTTAATAAGGGGTACAATTTATTACCAGCTTTAAATCGGCAGATGTACTAAAATTTTTTTACAATATACTTGAAAATTTCTTTTAAGATTTAGAATTTTAGTATAGATTTCATTTAATTTGTATCACAACTTTCTTTTTTTTTCAGATTTAGAATACGACTCGCAATTCGTCTTCCCGAACGGTTTTGTAGATCAAAATGGAATCTACTATGTAAATAGTAAGTACAAAAGCATATACATTTCAACGTGGATGTATTGATTGAGCATAGGTGTATTTTGTATTTGTGAGTATGTGTGTATATTATGTGAGTATGTGGAGTATGTGTGTGTATTTATGTGTACACCATGCGGTCCATATGTATGGAATAAATTCATTTTTAGCGTTATTAAGTACTATATAAAAAAAAAACCTGAAATATGTCGATTTTTATTCTTAAATCGACAATTTATAGTATGAAAATATTATCCCCCCTCTAGCACGCCCTTTGAATTATAAGCACCCCTCGAAAATTTTAAATAACAAAGGGGGTCGTATGGCACCTTGTTAGAAAGGGATTTCAGTCCTCTGTTCAGCAATATAAAGTTTTTTAAGTTTGGTACAATCATAACTGAGAAAATTGATTTTTTAAATGTAAAATTTTGATAATGTGTCTATCACAAAATTTTAGGTTGAATGAAGATAATAATGTTACATAATATTTAAAATGTATTTTTCAATGTACTTTACAATTAAATTAAATGTTCAAAATAACCACTATTCACTTCTTGACAATACCCGAGGCGATTCTCGTACAACATTTTGTACGACTCCGGGAGTTATTTTGTTAATATCTTCCGTTATTCTAACTTTTTAATCAGCCATACTGTTTGCTCTATTAATATATACTTTACATTTTAAATAATCCCATAAGCAGTAATCGAGAGGAGTCAAATCGGGGGATCTAGCCGGCCATTCGAGCGTCCCACGTCTTCCAATCCACCTATTGGGAAAAACCTCGTTTAAACAATTTCCAATTATAAGTGTAAAATGCGGTGGAGCTCCATCTTGTTGATAGTAAATAGGTCGAGCTATCTTATTTGGATGAATAACATTAGGAAAAAATTTTCGTAATGTAGGCACTAAAAAGTTAATAGAAAAATCTAGATAAACCTCACGATCAGCTGTGCACTCAAAAAAATAAGGACCAATGATTTTATTGTTAATGATATCAGCCCAATTGTTAATTTTTTTAGGATATTGCGTGTGAGTCTTACACACCCAATGAGGATTTTCTCTGCTCCAATATCTACAGTGCTGTTTGTTAACCGTTCCGTTTAAATGAAACGTCGCTTCATCAGAAAAAACTATTTTGTTTATGAACTGCAAATATGCGTTCATTCTGTCCATCATCATTTCATAGAATTCATGCCTTCTATCAGGATCATCTTCATTTAACTCCTTAACCAACTGAACTTTGGAAGGGTAATATTTTTCTTAATGTAAAACTCTCAAAATAGACGATTTACTTACGTCACTCACGTGACTTACGTCAATTTCCTCAATCTCTAGAAGTACATCTAACTTTTTTTGATATGGAGGGGGATATTATTTTTATACTGTAAATTGTCAATTTAAGCATAAAAATCGACCTATTTTAGGTTTTTTTCACATAGTATATAATAACGCTAAAAATTAATTTATTCCATACATATGGACCACATGGTATGTGTTATAAAATATGGTAAAGCGTGAACTTGATCTTAATATGGCTCCTTCTATGTGAGAATTCGTACACTTGAATACACATGACATACGTCATACATTCTAGGAAATTATAAAAAAAAACCTTACAATCAAAAATTAATTAATACCGTGGAATAATAGGTCAAAGAGTTTGCGAGACGATGGTATTTACTGAACCATTGCATGTTTCCTTCTAATTAAGATCAATTCCAGGATAAAATTGAAACGTAATTGGAAAATGTGGGCTGGATAGAAAATGAGAAATTACCAATAATTTTATATGGGTTTCTTATTTGTTTACGTGTAAAAAAAACTAATAATCGAATAGATATTTTTTTTCTAAACTTAGAAAAATGACCTTGATGGAGAATTGTTCATGAATATAGAGTTTTTTTTTCTTGGAAATTCTCAGATATCAAAGAATAAGATCGAAGGATATGCAAAGCTCTACTAAATTGTTGTTAAATCTTGCCTGGATGTTATTTCTATCATATATGTTTTCATTTGATTTAATAAGATTTGACGGAGATGGAAAACTCCTAGGGAAAACCAGGCAGGTTGTTCTCTAGGTGGCCTACTTACCTAAGTACATATTGGCTAGCTATAAATGATGAACGGAAGAATTTGAGAACTTTTGTCGTCTTGTTTGTATTGTATAATGTTGTTCATATTTCTGGGTGTTTCCTTTAGACAAACTTTTTTTGCCTTTTCTGAGCCTATTTTCAGTTAGTGGATATAAGTACTGGTGTTACAAATTTTCTACCACTTGCAGCAGTTCGTCAAGTGATCCTGTAAGGGGAATGTAAGCTAGAGAGAGAGATTAAAGAAAGTAAACTTTCTTTTCAGATTTATTTTTTTTTTGTAATTAACTGCATAGTTTGTGAACACATTGATAGCAGCTGTGCCTGTTACCTCTTTATAGACAGTTGTAATTGTTTAATGGAATAGGCAAACAAAGAAGGAGTTGCCTCCAAAATGTCCATGTATTCAGCAGAAGGTTTGTTGCTGGCAGACGTCAACAATTTGGTTTGGACTAATACAAGTTTCTTTTTAGGTGTATGATGAATACATTGTTAAAGGATTAGCATAGGAATACTTTGGGGATTGGGTATTTTGGTTTCGGGTAGATATTAGGGTATAACTCCTACGCAGAGAGGAAAACCTCTCATGTCTGTTTGAGATATTCGATTTTTTATGTAATAGAGCCGACAAAACGTCTCGTTGTTTTTAGTTTACTTTACGCAGAATATTCCTTTCCAAAGATTGCAGCGTTTGTGTGAGGTTCTGAATGATTACAGCATATATGTTTATATACTGTACTAATGTACTACTTACTGTGTAATATTGGCATATAGTATAAAGTATGTAAAGTGGTGTAAAGTATGGGTGCAAGAATGAAACCTTAGGAGAATCCTTCTGTAAAATTAAAGGGTGCGGAAAACTTCTTAACCTTTATACTCCTATCTAAGAGATATGAATGGAGGAGTTTGATAAAGAGAATCGTTAGGCTTATGTTGAGAAGTGTCTGTAATAGTTCGGAATGCCATACTTGATTAAAGGCTTTTTGAACCTCGGAAAATATAAATGGCAAGGATGAATTTTGTATCATTTAAGCTTTGTGTGAGGTGAGTGGTGATTTCAGTCAACGCGTTGTTTGTTGATGGACCTTCTCAAAAGCCAAATTGAAATGAGAGAATGATATTTGTTTCTGTGGTAAAATCTAAGTGTCCATGATCGTTTTGGTTACCTTTCAAGGACTAACAAAGGGTCAGCTAAGCATCACCTATGTCAGAGGTGATGCTCGGCAGAAAATATTTTCACAGATTCTGAAAACATTGTCAGGTCCTTATGAATATGATTTGCCTATTTGGTAAATGTTTTCTAGTGAATATTAATCCATACTTGACATGAATGGAATACTATGCATGTTCTTTAGATCATAAAGGCTTTTAAGTATTTCTTGGCTATATTTAGCAATAGTTCAATGAGAGGTAGGGTCGAATCTAGGATCATTTGTGGTAACAAAGTTATCTTGAAGTTGGGTTTTGAAGGCGTGAGCCTTCTGTTGATCTGAACTTGAAATTTCATTATTTACCAATTGGTGAGAAGAGTTTGATGTCTTTTGGTAAGACTACTGGCACTGTCATCCCAGTAGTCTAATTTTTTTTCTTTCACTGAGGTGGAAAGGTTCTAAACCAACTAGGGAAGGCGTCTTTATTTCTATTGGATCCGATCCGGAGAGGGACTATGCTAGGGCATAGCATCCAAAGTATGGATAATATGCGCCGCATACAACACTGTCCAGTCTACCCACCTACCGCCTGGAAATTAAAGTAAACAACCGGTAAAAGATTCTTACCTAAAAGTGATAAGAATTACTTAAAATAAAATCCAGAGGTAGTATTGTAAAGAGGCAAAGTATGGGATAGTAAAAGTGTAGGTGTATGTGGTCTGACAAGGGGAGAATGTAAAAATAAAAGTGTAGGTAAATTTCTATTTCTTTGTATGCCTTGCTTATTTTCAAGTTGGCTATCGTTGTATTAACAAGCTGATGAAATATTTCTCTCGACCGTTCGACCTGTCTATTGTCTAATGTTACGCAGCCAGGACTGTTTTCTTTCTACTCAGCGTTTTTCTTGGATTTTAACCCGAATAATCAACCGAAGTAAGCGATATCTAGGTCCTCTCATTATATTACCGAAGTATTGGATCTTTCTTATTTTGATGATGTCGATCAATTCTCGCTCTTTGTGCATGGTCTCTAGCACACGTTCGTTAGATATGTGTGCTGTTCACGGAATTCTAAGCATAGAGGTTTTACATCTATAGAACAAAGCAGATCAGAGATAGCACTTCAATACTCTTAGACAAGTCAAATGACAGACTTCTACTGCACAATAAAGAACGCCAGTTAATAAATTTTTTTTATGCAAGATCTATTCTGGTCGAGATTTCCTCCTCACTTTCAACCGTGCAGTCAATCCAACTACCCAGATATCTAAAGTATTCCACCATTTCTAGGATTTTGTTATCTAATTGTAGTACTGAGTCTTCGACATTAATTTTTCCGACCATCATCCATTTTGTTTTCAGTGCGTTGATTGTTAAGCCCTTTTTAGTGCATTCGTTTGAAAGTCTTCTAGACGATGTTATCTGATGTTATTCATAATTTCACCACCAATTTTACCATCTTCGCGACGGTTATTTAACGCTATCTCAAAAAATAATTCAGTGTAGGCAGTAAACAGCATAGGTGACATGTGACATAACAAAGGGTGGAGGGTACAGCAGGTGGTAAAAACATCGTAAGTAATATAATTATAGATCTGGCTGTAAAAGTGCTGGTAATGCATTATATGTAATTTGTTACTTTATCCACCCTGTTCCTGTCTCGCTCTTTCTAGCGACTCCTTTTTCTTTATTATTTGCATAATTCCCAGCCTTGATATTAGGTTGATTCATTATCTTTGAAAAATAGTACAAGTAAGAACGCATTGTTCTGCATCGTCTATGACTCAACAATCGATACACAAATCGATTGTGGTTTTCTTTATTCTCTACGACCTAAAGCAGCCGTGTTCGGTAAGAAATTGTGTAAAATAATAATTTCACCTTCCGAATCTATATTTGGACTATGTTACCATATCAGGGAGTAACATTTTGGTCCATTGAACCTTTGCCGTTTGTGCCTTCCATTTATTTTGCCATATTTGGGCAAATGTGATCTTACTTCTGATTTTATTTCTGGTAGATGATCGTTTTCTCTATAATATATAGTTTCTCTTTGTTTGGCTAGGGTGTGAATGCGGATTGTACCCATTATGACCTGTAGGACAGCTATAAAAGTAGTTCGATACGCACTTGCTACCTTTAGTTAGGACATTCTTTGTGCCTTTGCTAGCAGTTTTTTATATTTAGCAATTCTCAAGACTTGGTACCAAATGGTGACACCGAATAAGACGGTAGAATTTACAACCTGAAGGTACATTCTTTTTTGAAGGTGCTTAGGCCACCGGTGTTTGGCATAATTTTTATTAATGCCGTGGTTCTCTCTTGTGCTCTATGGACTAATTTCATCAGGTGCTTTGTAAATCTTCAACTGGTGTCTAGTCAGATGCCTAGATATCTGTTTTTTTTTCTGTCGCCAACACTAGATCTTGTTTTACCATCATTATATTTTCTGCAGCTTCTGTTGACCAGCATTTCTAATTCTAAGTTGTTGTTACATTAAATGAGTAGGGCTAGATCGTCTGTGTAAGCAATAGCTTTGGTCTCTGCTCCATAGTCGATTTCTAGTATTTCATTATATAAAACTTTCCAAAGCGCTGGTCCCAGTACGGATCCTTGCCTAATGTAGTGATCTTACCATCGGTTGCTTTTGATAGTGGTCATTTCAAGTTTTAGCTGTGCCAAGGTTCGGTTTTATTATGTTTTATGTTTTGATAAGGGAGTCACCAGATAGTTTGAATTGACGTAGTAGTGTCTTCTTTCATATTGAATGTTGGTTATGATATAAAGTGGGAGTGTCGGTTTGAAATAATTACTACAATGGAACAACAAGTGAAAAATGTAGTTAGGAAAAGAAAAAAAGCACATTCCAAAATCTTGCAAAATAAAATTTCTGGATATACTTGAGGCCCTCCATTCTAATTATATTATCTGATTCATCTCTTTTTAATGTTTGTTTAAATATCATTGAAATAATGATACTATCATGCGTTCAGTTTTGATAAAAGTTGTCATTTATGAAATAATTATTGTATGGGTAGATTTAAGAACCTTACTATAATGAATAAATAGTAGGTACATATAGGAAGATAAGATAATGGAGAATACAAGATAATACAATTTACAAAAACTAATATAAAATACAAAATTTCAATTGCATACATTTAAATTTCTGTTTTTTATTATTTCTAAGATAATAATCGCTACATTTTCTATTTCTTTCAGGTTTTGAACCATATCCTTTAATGTTATACAATCCTCCTACGTACTATACGGAATTTTCAAACTCGAAATCAAAGAGATACAGCACTGGTTCGTTGGTGAGTACAAGAATATCACATTACACAAAAAATTGGGATTATTTAAAATCAGAATCTTTTGTTGTACAACGAAATATGTCAAGCTGATGATATGCTTGTCGAAATTAAAAAGCTGTTATGTTTTACTTTTTATTTTAGTATTCTATAATTGATTTAAATACGCGTAAAAATGTATAAAATTAAAAAAGCAATTGTAGCTTTCGTACAAACTTAAAACCCAGTTTTTCTTTATTAACAAGACAGTATGCTGTTCATGTTTTCGCTACAAACCTTTTTTTTTTTTCGGTAAGATTTTACACTTAAACTGAAACACACAAGTGAAAATGCCGGTGGTAAAAGCTTTCCATTTTTTATTTAACCATGGCGAATCGCACACTGAGTTAACTGACGATAAGATGTAAAATATTCAAGTTAAAAGCTTTTTCTCATCATTCTAAAAACTGGGACGGACGCATTCTGGCCTGTTTATTAAGGTGAGAGAGAACAGTTGAAAAATAACGGTTTTAGCGAGGAAAAGGAAGTCGAGCTGATGCGAGATATAGTTTTAATTTGATAGAAGCGGAAGAATTTAGGAAATTGGGAAAATTTAATAATATGAATATGAGGAGAAACCACTTTGCTGTGTGGTTGTACAATAGAATGCTCTATGGCAGGCCGAATTTATTATTCTCTCGCATCTTTGGTTTTATATACTACAAGATATGCTATTTGAGTTTCGAATCATCTCGAGTGTCATTTTTGATTGTAAACAAGAATTGACCTCATAAAGCATTATGTTTTTGTTAAAAAAATTATCAGAATAACAGAAGCCATATAAAAAACATATATAGGAACAAACTTAAGATAAAAAACAAACGTTGATAGAATGTGAAAAAAGCTCTTCCATCTTGAAAAATCACACTCTAGTCGTCAAAAAAGGGTGAAATACACAAGAAATTTTAAAACTTTTGAATGAAAGAAAATTAAATTAAAGAGAAAAAGTATCAAAAACATAAGATCCAAATACTTATTAATTAAAATGAAAATCAAAGTCGTAATATAAGTTATATGCTTCATAAAGTATAAAAACCCAGGTACTGGAGAAAAAACTTCTTTAACATTCATTCAACATTCACGAAAAAGGCAAAAATATACCGGTATTAAAAGGAAAATATAGCGAAAATTTATATTCGGATAAGGGTGGAAAACTTTTATTGGACCTACAAAAGATAAAGTTAGACTATTTTGCTCGTGTAATTAGAGGACAGATATATATCCTGCTTTACTTGATCATATTGGATAAAATAGAGGGAAAGATATCGAGAAAAAGAAGAAGAATCCCAGTATTAAAAAACCTCTGTAAATGCCTTAGCGGCACCTCCATGCAGATACAATCAATGATGTAAAAGAATATAACAAATTTATTACGAAAAGGAGAACACTACATGATTATTTTTTTTTAATGTTTTATTTAATGAAAAAATGATAATTTAATATCACAGTAACGGGGGGTGTCAACCATGTTCTCTTTTCTTTTTACTATTTTTTTTTTGAACTTCGTTTAAAAACCATTAAGACTCTTTATTCTCAAACCTCTTTTCTGCAGTTTTTCCAAGTATTTCAATAGCATTACCTCCAATAAGCCATATTCCTCTTAATCATATTAGAACTTTCTTTTATATTACAGCACCTTTTTTCTACTATTTTTGTCATGAGTAGACCTTCGTTCTCATCTTTTAACATCTACCACTTCATTTTTTGGTATCCTCTCCGATATTTTGATATAGTTTCGATTTTTTACTTCGATGTTAAACCCAAGTGAGTTTTGTTGTCAGTCTCACTTACTATTACCTTGCACTCCTTACATTGCTGCTATTGCTAATTCTAGCATATCATCTACCTTCGTTTCTAGTTAAAAAGCCGAATCCTTCATATATCCTTTCATATGCTCTGTTGGATTTACCCATATCAGCATTAAAATATCTTCCTATTATAACTCTGTCCTCCCAGAAGCATATACGCACAGAGTTGAAGTTACTTGTTTTTTTTTTCTCTCCAAGATATCTTCAGTATCTTTTCTCTTCAAGGTATATAGACGGAACTATGAAAGCACATTTCTAATGCTTCAATTATGTTCATATAATATCATTAATAAATATTAAAATCTAAACTGTAGAGTTATAACAAGATCTAAAATTTTGTAGTGTCCGATTGTCAAAACACCTCTTGCATTATTTTGTCAGTTAAGCATACTATTTCGTTGTAATGTCTTTTAAAAAGCGTTTCTGAAAACATTATATTCTTACTAATAATTTGTACAGAAAAAACACCAACAGAATACATTAAAAGACTACCATATATTAAAATAAGAATCGAGGTCTTTGAAATTCAAGCAGAAAAAATGCTTTTATCGTGGCACTTTGTTAACACGAATTCTGCTACAACTAACTTGTTCAGAGATTTCTTCACTGGGCGTATAGAACCTATTTAGTGTCAGTCCAGAACAAGCAAAACTACACCTAACCAAACTATACCATAACTAACCAGTGACTACCGGATCACATTATAAAACTCGGTAATCATCACATAAGTTGTGTTTCAATCTTAAATTGTCTCTTTATCTAATTAACGTATTTAGCAAAGTAATATTTTTATATAAATTATCATATTGTATGCGTAAACGACTCAAACTTTGTACCCGGTGTCGTAAATTTAGTAAATTTTGAAACCAGGCGTAGTATGTACGTTTCTGTGACTCTTGTTATCGGTAACGTAAATATGTCATAATGGTGTGTATACAGTGCCGTAATTTAGAATTTGGCTTGGTAGTTTATCAATGTTTGTCTGTTGTTTGAACACGTATAAAAGCAAGTAAATATTCAGATTGTAGTATATTGGTAAGTCTGTGGAAGCATATTCTTTTGTATTGTATATTTCGGAAGTCATTGAACGAAATCAAAAACACCTATATCAGCAATGATTTTAATAATTAAAACATTTAAAAAAAATTAAAAGATGAAAATTCAAAGGGGAAATTGGAATAAAGTCCGAGAAGAAAACAAGATAGGATAATAGACAAAAACAAACTATCAAAAGATAATTAAAGATAAAAATGCCCTATCTAATGATGATATATCATCTAGATATAGAAAAGGCTTAGGGGGACCTAAATAGTCACTGAGAGGGATTGGTGGAATCTTTATGTTTAGTAAGAAATAAAAAGTGATAATCAAGATAAAAAAAAAACAATGGCATAAAGGAAGAAAAAATACAAATCGCTACCTAAAATACAACGTCACTAAGAGGGAAAGAAGTGCGGTTAACAGAAGAAATGAATTGTTATAATATCCAAATATTAGCAATCGGCCAATCGAAAAAGAAGGACCGCAAAATTAGCAGATCAACACACACTATATTATTTTATTCTGGTAGAAGAACAAAAGTCAGACCAAATAAAATATTGCGAGCAATAATGTTAACAGAATTAAACAAAGCAATAAAATGAAAACTTATTAACTCATGAATAATAATAGAAATAGACACACAGTTGAAAGAGAGAATCAATATAACACAAAATGTACAAGTGGAGAGAACTGATGAAGAGAAAGTCATAGAATTTTGTGAAGATCTATAATCAACTTTATATAAAAAGCAAAATAAAATAAGACAAAAATAATAATAATGGAAAAACCGAAAAAATTCCAAGCAAAAGGCTAAAAAGAAAAAAAAATAAAGAGTGAGTTAAACAATGCGAATGGAAAAAATGTCAAAATCTTCTATTAATAAAGATATATATCACAAACTAGGCAGATTTTAGTGGTATGAGAAAACAAAGTCGTTATCCCATATACGTAAAAACGGAGACTAATAGCAACATGATAATTATAGAGTCATATATTTATCTGCACTGACATTCACAGCCTGCACAAGAATAGTGAAGCAAATTTTTAATCAAATGACAGAAAAAATATAGAACAAGAATCAACTGATTTTAGTGGGTATAACAAATGAATACGAACAAAAACTATTTAAGCAATCGTATGATGTAATAGAATGGAACCCATAGTAGATGCATAGTGAAAGTAGACGTACTAATGTACGAGGAATCCAGTTGTTTTTAGCTAGCAACTACAAAAACTGAAGATACTAAAATAAAAATAATAAGTAACGAAGACTAAATTAAATAATCAAAATTGAAGCGAAACCACTGAAAATAGTAGGAACATGTGATCACCTAGTGACCATAATTTCTAATTATGGAAAAACATATTTCTTCTTCTTCTTCTTTTGCCATCTTTTACGGGGCCTTCCTCTTGTTCTCTTTCCTTTTGGGTTTCCATCTCTGAACTACTTTTACCGCTTGATTATCTGGCATTCTTTCTAGGTGACCATGTCATTTTAGTCTTTGTGTCTTTACAAATCTAACAATATCTGCGCTCTGCATTAGTTCATGCAGCTTGTGGTTCATTTTAAGTCTCCAGCAACCATCGCTGCATTGGTTTGGTCCAAATATCTTCCTTAGTATTTTATGCTCAAATATTCGCAGCTGATTTTCATCAGTGGTTGAGAGGGTCCACGTTTCACATCCATATGTAACCACTGGTCCAGTTACTGTTTTTTAGATTTTAAGCTTAGACTCACGATTCAGTAAGTAACAAGTAAGTTACTTTTCATTAAGTCTTTGTATGCATACAAGTACTTACTACCGCTAAGAATCCGTACTTGTATTTCTTGACTGATGTTGTTGTTGTCATTTACTATTGAGCCTAGGTAGGGAAAAGTGGAGGCATATTTGTAGGTATGGTTGTTTACCTTCAGATTCTTAAGTTGTAAATAGGTATGTTATATTCAACACATTTTTATGTATACCTCTTAACATATTTGGTCCATAGTTGACCTCTTTGATCTGAAGCCACATTGGTATTCACAAATCATCTCCTCCGAAAACCAGGTTCCAGGCGGCTGTATATAATTCCTGATAATATCTTGTAGACGACATTTAAAACTGTCCCTATGTCCCT